GTCCCAGCTACTCAGAGGCTAAAGTGAGGATTGCTTGAGCCCAGGAGCTGGAGGCGGCAATAAACTATTAATCATGCCACTGCACTCCAGTCTGGGCAACGAAGTGAAATGCTGTCTCCCCTTCACCTCCCCCCTCCGCACACACAAAAAATCACAAAGAGGAATTTTATGCCAATCTTTGAAGAATGAAGGAACTATATACTTAATATTTTACCCTAAAAAATATAATGTATTCCCACAGTATTCTATTTCTCTTAATAGTACTTATTCTGGTTTGTCTGTTTCACCAACAGAATCTAACCTTTTTGAAAAAGAACTGGCATTCAATAAACATTTGATGAATACACGACTGTTAGCATTTAAAAAATGTATTTACCTGACTGGTTAAAATTATTATACATATTTTAAGTAAAATGCAGATGTTAACTTTAGCTATTGACTTTTTAAAGTTTTTGAAATATTAGCCTTTACTTTCTGCTGTGAAGAAAAAGACACAAAACCAAACCACAATATAAAATATGTGACATAAAATAAATAATTTTGATTTAAAAATATAGTAAAGAATGCAGCCATAAAAAATGAAACCATGGCCTTTTCAGGAACATGCATGGAATTGAAGGTCATTATCCTTAGGAAGTTAATGCAAGAAAATAAAATACTGCATGTTCTCACTCATAAATGGGAGCTAAATGATAAGAACACATGAACACATACAGGGGAACAACACACACTGAGCACTATCGGAGGGCAGAGGGTAGGAACAAGGAGAGAAACGGGAAAAGTAACTAATAGTTACTAGGCTTAAAACCTGGGTGATGCAATAATCTGTACAACAACCCCCCCCGACACAAGTTTACCTATATAACAAAGCTGCACATGTACCCCGAAACCCCTGGAAAGCCAAACTAAGAAAAAAATATAGATAACATTAAAATGAAAATGGAAATTTAAAATTACTATGAGATTAAGAGAATTACTGGAATACTGAATGCAACTTTTTATCAGTAAATTTTTAATCTAGAGAAACAATTGTTTATACTAAAAACCTTCTATGTCTAAAATTAAGGAAAGATAGAATAAATGATCAGATCTGTAACTATATTAGAAACTCAAGGTCAGGCATGCTGGCTCATTCCTATAATCCTAGCAGTTTAAGAAGCTGAGGCAGGCGGATCACTTGAGACCAGGAGTTAGAGAGCAGCCTGGGAAACATGGTAAAACCACATCTGTACAGAAAATATAAAAATTAGCCAGGCATGGTGGGGCATGCCTGTGGTCCCAGGGAGGATGAGGTGGGACAATAAACTGAGCCCAGGGAGGTCAAGGCTGCAATGAACCATGATCACACCACTGTACTCTATTCTGGGCAATAAAGTGAAACCCCATCTCAAAAACAAAAAAAACTAAATAAATAAACAAAAATAAAAACACCAAGAAAAATTCAAATATTTTCTAAATTTCTACCATCCACCACTAAATAAGCTACCAAGCTTAATGATTTTACAGGCAAATTGTGTACAGCCTACAAGGATCAGATAATTTCTATGATTCTTATTATCCCATAGGATAAAAAAAGATGGAACACTTCCAATTTTTTTTTTTTTCCAAAGGAAACATATAACCCAAATTTGATGTGAGGATAAAGAAAAACATTACTGAAAATGTTCACTTATGAACAGGTATATTTATAATAAAATCCTGAATAAAAATACCAGCAAATCAAAACCTGAAGCATACAAAACATAAGATTGTTACTACTGTCTTTGTGACCTTGGGCAAATTACTTCCCCCTCTTCTGTCTTAAGTTTTTCAACTGTAGAATGGAGATCATAATAATATTTACAGCATAGGGTTATAATAAAGATTAGATAGGTAAGTAGAAAGTTCTTAGAACGGTGCTTGGCACATGGCAAATGCTCAGTAAGTACAAACTATTCTTATCCCAAGAATCAAAAGGCAACATAATCCACTGTGTCATAATTTTAAAGTGAAAAATAAAATATATAAATGTGAAAACTGGATAATTTTTGGCAGACATTTTTTAGAATGAAACAGATATAAAGGCCAAGCTCTTAAACATGACGAGTATCAAAAGCCAATAGCACAAATTATACTAAGTTTAAAACAGTTTTCATTCTGTTAAATTAAGTAATATGACAAAGCTGTTCAAAGTTAACATGATTTTCCATATTTTGGAGCTTACACTAATGCAATAATGTAAAACAACAAATACTGGAAGAGATAAAGTAATTATTTGCAGATGATATACAGGTAGAAAGTCTAAGTAAACCAATCTCTATTAGAATAAACGTAATGAGAAGCAAACATAATGACAATGGAACAAGGTAGTATGACAAACTATATAAAATTTCATTGAAAATAAAATATACCCTGACTACTTTCTTACTTTTTTTTTTGAGACAGGGTCTCCCTCCTGCTGCCCATGTTGCCCAGGCTGGAGTGCAGTGGGGCAAACATGGCTCACTGCAGCCTTGCCTTCCCAGGTTCAAGTGTTCCTCTCACGACAGCCTCCTGAGTAGCTGGGACTACAGGCATGCACCTCCCACACCCGGCTAACTTTTTGTAGAGATGGGGTTTCACCATATTGCCCAAGCTGGTCTTGAACTCCTGAGTTCAAGAGATCCTCCTTACTTAGCCTTCCAAAGTGCTGGGATAACAGGCATGAGCCACCATGCCTGGCATACCTTTAATACTTTCTATTAACTAATTCAGTAGTAACTGTATCTTCTCATTCATACAACCTAAAAACTTAGAATATCTGCTAGACTCATCCCTCTCTTCACTCCTCACATCCACTATCAGTCATCAAATCCTACCTATTTTACCTCATATATATTTCTCAAATTTGTCACCTCTTTTCCATCTCCACCTTAATTATCCTGGTTATCCTTTAGAAGGCTCCAGAAAATGAGTCTCCCTCTTTCCAGTCTTATCCTTCCCAAAATTACAGTTCATTCAGCTGCCAGAGTAATCAAGCTAAAAACAAACCTGATTAGACCAGGTGCCAGTTTAAAACCAGAGATTGTCACTGACTTCAGAATGGAGTCCAAGTTTAAGGCTAATAATGCCTTTGATCATCTGGACCCCGACTCATTTCTGTTTTTTTTTTGGACAGGGTCTCACTCTGCCACCCAGGCTATAGTGCAATGGCACAATCGCCGCTCACTGTAGCCTCAAGAGACTCCCTCCACCTCAGCCTCCAGAGTAGCCAGGACTACAAGTGAGCACCAGCAGGCCCAGCTAATTTTTTCATTTTTTTGTAGGGATAGGGTTTCATTGAGTATGTTGCCGTGGCTGGTCTCCAACTCCAAGGTTCAAGTTCCTCCTGCCTCAGCCTCCTAAAAAGCTGGAAATGAAAGACGTGAGCCACTGCTCCTGGCCTCCTCTTCCTTTTCTTCCCCCTTTTTGAAGTCTAAAAGTATGGATTGGCGTTTCTCAAATTAGGATATGCAGTACCTCTCATTAAAAACATCAAGACTTAACCACAGCTGGAAACGATACATCTTACCAAACTTACAACATCAATTTTGGTGAAGATTTTTTAAGAAAGACACTTGATATTAAATACAGAAGAGAATGCAAAATTTGTTTGACTGCTTAAGTTAAAATCCAACAAAGATGGCACTAATAGCAGGCAGCTTTGAACGTTACCTTGGGGCTCTGAATGGGAATGATGCTGACACACTTGTCATTACAGATGAAAAGTCTGTTAGACTTTTAGTTTGATACTGTTAGTATCAAACTCTGATTATTTCATTTGCTAATGCGCCACTGACTGTAACACTGAGAACTTAATTACGCCAGATGACAGCTGACACTTTACATTGATTACTTCATCTTTTAACCATCTCCCAAAACCATATAGGACCTCATCTCTACTCCTCATTCTTTCTACATTAGCCACATTGTATCCTTGTTCCTGGCACACGGTAACCCACTTTAGGGTCTTGATTTGCCATTTCCTCTAAGAACCTTTCCCCTTAAAATATGGCTCCCTTTCTCAACTCCTTGAAGCACTTCCCCAAACGCTGCCTTCTTAATGAGGTCTATTCTGACCTTCCCGTTTCCTTATCAATTACCAACATGATTCTAGAGAGTAATAACGTCTGATTGTCTCTTTATATCATTTTACTTAATGTGTTTACTTGGTTCCCTACCGGAATGTAAGTTGCATGCCAGTAGTGTTTTTGTTTATTCAGTGAGTCTACTGTGTCTAGAAAAGTGCTTAGCGCATTGTAGACTCTCACTGAATTACTTATTGAACAGTCCTATGAAACAGGTATTTCTCTTGGCCAGATTTTACCTTATGATGATTCTGAAGCAGTGATGAGAACCTTCCTAGAGTCATCGTCAAGAATCTACAAGCAGCCTGGCTCTCTACTCTTTACCATTACTGCGTGGTGCCTCTCATTTATGTAGTGAATTTCTAAAGTACTATCCATTTTGTATGTTTCCCTTACTAGACAGTTACCTCGCAGCAGGGGATACTTCCTCATCTCTGTTCCGTGATTGGCAATTTCTAACCCAAGTTACATGCTCTACAGTTGTTTAAGGAATGAATGAAAGCATGAGTGAACACATAAGCTGCCCAAAGATTTTTTACATTAATCTTCCAACTGGTTAAATTATTTTAATCTTTCAGATTGTTTTAAACTTTTATAAAAACAAAAACCAAACACCAAGCCTGTCTTCAAAAAAATTTTTTGAAGTGAAAAAACATGATTCCTGATAAATGACTTAATTAAATGGAAATGTACGCTATTCTTAAAATTTCCGCACCCTGGTTTTCAAAGCTTTTTCGACATTAGGAAATATTAAAAAAAAAGCTCCAAAACCAGTTGCTGACACTTCATTATATATACATGCAACCATATTAAGCCATCTCCTATTAAAAAGAAACGTAAATAAAAGTGCCACTTTCGTAGACATCGAACATTATAAAACAATCATGCCGGAGAGAAACAGACACCTTCACTTACAAAAACTGATGCTAACGAGAACAACTTCCGGAGCAATACCTGGCCCAGGGTCAGCAGGAGGTGGCCTTCTCGAATAAACGTGATAAGTACTATGGTCAGAGCATGACTAACTTGCCACAGAATGCCAATGTCCATGGGTTGGATCTCTGAGCAACGACCGTCCCCGGCAGAAGGGGCGGGTGTAGGAGAGATTGAAAAACTAGGCCCCTCCCAGGCCGCCTCGAAACTAGGGCCCAAAGATTCTTATCCTCAGAGCGCCTCACCGTGTCTAGACTAGGGGCAAGCGACCATTTCTCAGGAAAAGGATGACGCACAAAGGAAAAACTGGCCATCCAACACGAAGGCTGAGGAAGCGCACTAAAACGGGGCGCGCGGCTGAAGTGGGAATACCGGCGCCTAACCGATTCCTCTCCCGAGAAATCGCGAGATTTCTCGCCGTCACGGGATCTCAGGCTGAAACCTCGCGGCCTCTCAGACGAGTAGGGGTTAGCAGGGGCACCTCCCAAGCCCCCTCCCGGATCCACACGCCACCCCGCCCCCGGCCCACCGCGGCCCACCCCGGCCGTCGCGGAGAACTGTCACCCAAGGCGCCTAGGGACTTCCGGAGCCCGACCGGATCCGGAAGCTCCTGGGAGCGAGGGGGTGGGGCCGAAAAAAAAAATCAAAAAAAGCGCGGCGAAAGCTGAAGGCAGGCGCAGGCTGGGTGGTGGTGGTCCCACGGCGGGCCCGCTGCCAGTGCAATGGACTCCACGGCCTGCTTGAAGTCATTGCTTCTGACTGTCAGCCAGTACAAAGCCGTGAAGTCAGAGGCGAACGCCGCTCAGCTTCTGCGGCACTTGGAGGTGAGAGGCTCCGGGGTGGAGGACAGATGGGGCTCCCTCTAGTACTTGTCAGTTCACAGTGAGGCGGGGGAGTGGCAGCCCCAGCCTAGGAAAGAGAGGACAGTCCTTCGCTCCCTCTGTTGTCTTTTTGTCTAGTAAAGGCGAGTGAATGTCGGGGTTCCTCTGGTCGCAGCGAGAGGCCGGAGCGCCCAATGAAGGCTCCAGGAAAAGCGGGAGTGGGACCAAAGTTTGGGAAATTTAGGCTGTTTTGGGTAGGTAACGGACAAAGCTCGCAGCTTTTTTCCCCCCTTTGCTTCTAGTTTTATTTTTTTTCCCCACGAAACCAAGCCCTCAATACATAACGATTCTCAATGACAGAGTCATGATTAAAACTTGGCTTTGCCCATCGGTAATCTGTAATTGAATTTGTTGCTTACCGCTTTTATTTCAAGTCGGGTTGGAATCAGACTTGAAAAACATTATTTCAGCCTTATTTAAGGAGCAGTCCGCCTTCCTAGTAAGCGTAATTCTTTTTCTTTACCAAAATACATTGCTCAGTTTTTTAATCCTGAAATGCTGAATTGCTTTCATTTTTTCTGTTAGTTCTAGTGATGTGTGTCCAGACTATTCCATTTGTTTTAGGATCTTAATCTCCTGCTGTCATTTGTTATGCATTTATGGAATTCAAACTAACATTGACCTCAGTTTTTTTTTTTTTTAAGCTCAATTAAGGCTCATTTTAACTCTCTTTGTCACAGCTGTCCTCTGTTAAGATAGAATGGTACATAATTTAAAAATATGTTGTATTTATTATATTAACCCTGTGATAGAAGACTAATGTGTCAACGATTTGTAAAACCTACAAGAAAAAAAATGATTTCAAGTAGTACAGAAACAACAGCCATTAGTGAAGCTGCTGTTGTATTAAATGTGTCTGTCTTTTCTTGAGCTTCAGAGGGGTGGTCCTCTTCCAAGTACATTTGTTTTCTCTTTTTCATCCATTACTTGAAGGAGTACCCGTAAACCTAATAATTAAGGTGTTACCTGTTAAATGCTTAAGGCTTTGCTTCTGAATCAGTATAGACTCCAGAAGATGCAAAAAAAGCCAGGCCGTCAGTTTAATTTAAAAATTGGGAGTTAAGCATTTTATATGCTATTTTGAAACATTACTTTTCTTTGTGAATAAAGAGTTTGTGAATTCAAAGAGGCTTAAGGCCAGGCCCAGTGGCTCATGCCTGTAATCCCAGCACTCTTGTGTCTTGCCTTTTCCACTCAATATAATCTGAAATTCATGTTGCACATGTATCACTACATTTTTTTTAAATTGCTGTGCAGAATTCTATTTTATAAGTGTACCACAGTTTACATATACTTTCCTGTTCATAGGCATTTGGGTGGTTTACATTTCTGAGTGAAATTATAAATAAAGCTGTCGTAGACGTTTTATACATTTTTTTGTGGATATATGCACGCATTTATATACTTAGGAGTAGAATGTTAGAGCACTGGGTAGGCATATGTTTCATTTTAGTTGAAACTGCCAAACAATTTTCTGAAATATTATGTCATTTTACCCTCCCACTAGCAATATGTGAAATTTTCCATCACTCATCCACACCAACCCTTGATGTTTTCATATTTCTTAGTTTTAACCATTTTGGTTGACAATATTTGTATTTTTAATGGTGAATGTCTTTATGTAGACTTCATAAGAGCAAGATCTAAGGATGCAAAGAGAGGTAGGTATCATGTGAAAGGAGATGATTCATTCTTCTGTACTTCTCCCACCCTTTTTTTGTGGCCCCATGCAGAACCTAGGCTTTGAATGTTTGATCCCTGGCAAAGCTGAGCTAATCCAATTTTTCATGATGGTATTTCATAGCACTAGTTTTGTGTAGTGACTAAAAGCGTGAATTCATGAACCAAGCTGCCTGGATATGGTGTGAATTCCATTTGTGCTTCTTTGCTAACAGTGTGTACCTCAGTTTACTCAGCTGCAAAACAAAATAGTGGCACCTACGTTATAGAGTTATTATGAAGATGAAAGAACAGTTAACATATGTAAAGTGCCTAGATCGATGCCTAGGCCAGAATGCTATATCAAGTATTAGTTATTATTAAAATATTTTTGTATTAAAACATTCAATATATATGCGTGAAGGGGAACATTTGTAAAGCAATTTTTATTTTACCTGGTACATGTAATTATTACATGTTAGACAATTTATGTTATTGAGATACAGGTCCAGTCCTGTGGAGAATCCTTTTTAAAACAGAAAATGTCTTATTCTGAAGAGCTAGATTTATAAATAGGCAACAGGGTAATAATGCCCAGAGGATTTTCTACCCCAGAATATCTATTACTGTTGTCTATACTGTTATATTTGGACTTTTTTTTCTCTTACAGACTTTTACTTTAGTAATGTTAAATGTGAAATTCTTATCAGCAAAGCTTTAGAAGAAAAACTGACGTGGATGAGAGAATAAAGGAAGGATACAGAAAGGAAAGATTAGAGGGATACTATAGCAGCCTGCTCAGGCTTGATCTTATAAAAATAATTATTCTGGATAGATATAGTCTTATTCTAAAGCAACTAATGGTTTTTTCCATCTTTGTAGAAAATATGTGCTTTATAATAAATACATCTGTAAAGCATGTTGAAAATTCATACTTTTTGACAACTGCTTTTGGTCTTCAATTCCAGCTTTATTTCCTTTCTTCTCTCTCTCTCACTCTCTCTGTGTGTGTGTGTGTGTGTGTGTGGCTTATAGATTATAAGAAAGAAGTAAAAAAAAAAAAAAAGGAATAATCAGAAATAAAAATTTTCAGTGCCTTGCCTGGCTGCTTAAAAAAAGATTCGTTTTTCACTTCCTTCTTTGTAATCCCATAACTTTTTTTTTTTTTTTTTTTGAGACGGAGTTTTGCTGTTGTTGCTCAGGCTGGAGTGCAAAGGTACAATCTCAGCTCACAGCAACCTCAGCCTCCCAGGTTCAAGTGATTCTCCTGCCTCAGCCTTCCAAGTAGCTGAGATTACAGGCATGTGCCACCATGCCCAGCTAGGTAATTGTTTAACTTCTAAAATCACCTATTATCTTTGAGAAGAAGCAGAAGGAATAATCCCAGAGCTACCCTCTGGGCTTTCTTTTTCATCCTCCTCCCTCAAAGTAGGTAGAATGTACTAGAATTTATTAGCAAACTAAATATATTGGTAGCAGAGTGCAGATTTGTAGTCTGTGCCTTCATCGAGTGTTCAATGTAGTGTGAAGGAGAAATATTGCTAGATACTTAAAAGTTTGCTAACTTAGGGCATAGAAATATAATGTACTATAGGATGATATAATAGGCAGACCTAACCTAGATAGCCTAAGAAGCTTAGGGAAAGCTTCCTGGTGGAAATGACATCCAGTCAAAAATGATTACAAGTAAGGGATTAGGTAATCTAGGCAGGGGTGAATTTTTCACAGCATGTGTGAAGTTTTTAAATTGGGAGGGTAGCAATGGCACTTTGAAGGAACTGAGTTTTTAATTTGAAATAGAGAAGAGATGAAAATTGCCATTTCTTAACTAACGCATTTTGATTACTATTTTATAGGTAATTTCTGGACAGAAACTCACACAACTGTTTACATCAAATCATATATTAACAAGTGAATGCTTGAGCTGTCTTGTAGAGCTACTTGAAGACCCAAACATAAGTGCTTCACTGATATTAAGTATTATCAGTTTGCTATCTAAACTAGGTAATGCATTTAATTTCTCTTTTTTTTGTTTTTGGAAGATGTATGAACAATATTTTAAAGTGCCAACTTAGTCTTTTAAAGAATGATTCACCTTCAAAGATTTCTCAATCTAATGTGCGTTATGAATCTTCTGAAAGAGGGAAATATTTTATGCAGCATTTCTTAAAATTATTGGACTGAGGAATCAGAGCATGTGCAAGTTTCAGCGTTCTACAGAAAAGAATGCACTTTGGGAAATGCTGGACACTTTTGAATTAGAAAACAAAAACCCAGACATAATGTCAGTATTAAGTATACCACCAGAAAGTCTAGGTACTGATCAAAGAATCATCCTTCTGTAATAAATTACACTGAATTTAGAACTAAAGGTAAAAGTGCTATTGTTGCTTTTTCTATCTTTTTCCCCATAGCTTTAGCTTTTAAATGTTCATTTACTGATCACTTTACCCCAATTTAGGACATGGTGGTGGGGATATTTCTTTGTGTGATTATAATAATATATGCATAGTTTAAAAAATTCTAGTGATCCAGAAGTATTAACACAAAGTAGTATTGTCCAACAGTACTTTCTTCAGTGACAGAATTGTTTTAGAACTGTGTTACCCAATATAGTAGCCCCTAGACACATGGATCTATTAAGCACTTGAAGTGTGGGTAGTGGACTAAGAAACTGAATCTTTGATTTTAATTAATCTAAATTTAAATAGCCACATGAAGGCTAGTGGCTATCAAATTAGCCTAGATATAGAGTAAAACGCAATGAGTCCGTACCGATTACCACCAGCCCTCATTTGTTCACTTTTGGGGATATAATCTCATTTAATGGTTTGATATGTTTCTTTGCATATATTTTTCTTTGCTGTCACAGAACAATAATTTTGGATCTTTAATTGGTTGTTTTTAACATAAATGGTGTTGCAGAGCACCAGATGTTTCTTTCCATATCAGTATCTTTAATAGCTGCCTAGTGCCATAATTACAGGGTATTATAATTTATTCAACAGTTTCCCTAATAGTGGGCACTCATTGTTCGTTA